TTATTTTAATTACAGATAACATTTGTACGCCAGACTAACCGTACGTTATAGTAGTGAAGCTCTGAAACAAACCACCGTGCGCGCATGTTACACTCATGTGAGACATCATGCGTTAAAACTTGTAAAGTCACATAAAACAAATCATGTAAACAGCATGTTGCCAGCGTGACGTTATGTTACATTGCAGCAGCACGTTGACTGTACGATGAATTATATAATATAAATTTTGCATTTTTGAAACAGCGCGCTAAGTGCACGATCTTGTTACGGTGCGCAAAATTATTAATTTAATCATCTTGAAGCTAATTATGAGAACTCATTAAAATCATTATCATCATCATTAACTGCATTTAGTAGACTCAACAGTTGAGTGAGCTGTTATTGGTGTAGTGTTCTTCTAGATCATCCAATTAGACTTTTAGATGTTAAGTCTGTTGACAACCATCTAAAAATTTAATTGGATAATCTAGAAGGACGCAGCCAAAAAAAAAGATAAAAATTTTTTGTTGAGAATTTCTCATCATAGTGCGCCTTTTATCCAGTTCAATGTGGTTTTTCAAATACGAGTAATTAAACTTCGCTGTGTCTCTCTAGTGGCGATATTGCACTGTTTGAAAATTAGACATATTGAATATTTCTGCACGAAACTAGTCACGTGTAAAAACATCGTGCAATTCCAAAGTTATAGCATGCAGTTTTGTTTTAATGCTAGCGTTGTAATATAATTTGAAGTAGTAACTAAAATCTGACGACATAGACTTGCTCGATGATATCTGTACAATATCTAAACTATAAAAAATCACAGCTTGTTTGGCTGTGACTTTTGCACGGCTGGCTATCTGGGAACATTATATAACATTGAATAAGAGATTATCAAATTATGAGATTAGTTTGCACAGAGGATCAGAACAAGAGATCAGTTGCAGGTCCAATATTCTCGATTTTAATTGATGGCCGCTATCAATTATAACCAATCAGCAAGCAAAACCTATTTGGGCTTCTCTGATAATATAGGACTCTAACATACATAAATCAAGCAGTTCTTATGTTACAAAGTAAAATCGAAAATAGGCAGTTTACGACTGACAATGAGAGACATGCTATGCCGAGATAACTATCTTATTTTAACTTATGGCAAAATAATTGATACTATAAAATAAGTTGTATTCCGGTACACATTGGCTGCATTCAGTGCTACCGCGTATGTAGTCAGTGCTACCGCATCACACTATTTTTATTGTTTATTAAATGTAAAACAAGGATAGAACGATGCAACAGCGCTTCCCGAACGCATCGCACTGAAAACCTATCCGAGAGATATCCCAGAAAGTATCATTTAATCCTTGTTTAACATTCGGTGAACAAATAAGGAGAGTAATACTTCTGCGCTAATCGCTGCGTAAACGAATGCAGGGTATAATTCACATACCTGTAATATAGATATACTATGGGCTTTTAGTATGGCAGTCATATCAAAACGCAGCCATAGAATGTGATACAAATATTTCATTCTAGCTTGCAACATCAGTCAACTTGTCGTAAGGTAAAATGATTTACTTTAGGATCTCGTTAAAGAATTTTTTTTTTCAAGTTTCGTAAATAAGACAAAGCGAGACAGATAGTGACAATTGTGTTGAGTATTTCTAGTACATCACCTATTAGATAAATCGGGATTCTTTTTTGGAACACTAAAGCAATTTTTGTCGAGAGTATTTTTATACTTGTTATGTAGTATGTATGTATAGTCATTAAGACCCTTAAAAATGTACGTAGCAATACTATGGATTAACTAAAAGTATACATAACGAACGAAATACGCTACTCTCAAACAGAGAAAGTAATAAGTGGGGAAATATATATGTATATATATATATATATATATATATAGTATATATTGAAACAATATTGAGAAGCGTTAGCAAAACTGCTTAACGGCTTTGCTGAAATTAAAAATTGTTTCACATTTTTTGTAAAAAGTTTATATTATTTTTGTATTTTTTTCGGAACTATATATATATATATATCAAATGAATTTTTTATTCTAACTTCCCTTAAAATTTTTGAACGGATTTAAAAGATATATACTTAACATTAATAAACACTCTAAAATAAATTCATCATAATTCTTCAATAGACACGATTTTGTAGTCGTCATCATAATAATCTAAAAGATGATTTTAGTCTTACAGCCATCTTCTGAATTCAACTTAACCGTATCATCAAGCTTACAGATACTTCAGTTCATTTCCTATAGCGATGTATCGAACCCACTTACATGAACTCATAATGCTTACTTTTGCTTGCCGAGAGCACTGACTTAATAGCTTTCTTCTCCAAGAAATTCGGACATTCCAGCTTGTCTCCAAAATGCAGTTGCACACCTGCCATCCTTGATTATATCTTACCTTACCGGTTGCCACACGAGATATTCTCGTATAATAATGCAAATTTTCGCCACACGCGCATCGCCTTCGTAATGTCGACGAATTACTCGACAAGCTGTGGCCAGTGAAGCTTCTTAGTAAACATAGATTGTTACATCTCTTTATATCAAACGTATAATATGCAACAAATAACATATAATGAAATACCGAAAGAATTGATTTGTACTTGCACAGCTTGCACTAACAATAAGATATTCAGAATAAAAACAGAATATTTCACTGAAATGAAATACAGGATAAGTATTCAGTAAATATTGAATAAATATTACGTAAATATTATATTAATTGACAGCAATTTATAGAAAAAGCTGTACAGGTAAACATTATGCAGTTATAATAACATCGTGATGTTATTTCAGCAACAAAAATCTAAATAAAATCATGAAATTCTAAATAAAATCATGAAATTCTAAAAAAAAATTTGAAAGAATCAGTCATTTTTAATATTAATTTTTTCTTGAAAATTCTGAAGGCACAACAAAGCATAATAAATATATGTATGTTTACAGAAAAAAAGCTGAAATTGAGCTTATTTATAGGCAGATAATTGAATGAGTAAATAAGTATGTTTTATAATTCTACTCGCGCATCTCGCATAATCCAACATGAAAACGAGTAAAATTACATTTAGTTAAAAGTTAGTTCACCCCGTTAATGAGCTTACTGTCTTTGGTGCCTGAGGGCTTACGGTATTTATCTGGTTTGTCTATGTTATAATGAACTTCCTGTATAGGTATATCAGTAAAATACGCACCAGAGCGCTTGCTACGTGCTTGATAATGCCTGTTATGTATAACATGATCATGCGGTGTACTCTTGTGTTCATTAGCGAAACGTGGCAGAGAAAATTCATTTTTCGCAACATATAGTGTCCGCTTGTTGGTGGTCGCTGAAATGAGTTTTTACACTGCACCAGCTTTGAGCTAGCAAATAACGAAAGCTATGCGAACTCTATGATACACATGTTATGATAATATAATAACAGCCAAGCTTTATCAAGTCTTGAGATTTATACACTTACAATGCGAGTATGTTACACAGAAAGTGTAACTAACGGCATAGTTTTGACAAGTTTATTTTTTGATGACAAAATTTATTAAAATTAACCAAAGCGCAATTGCATTTGTTAAATTTAATAAATTTTATCATCAAACAACTTGGAGATAAATTAAAATAGTCAAATTTTTTAAAAAAAAAAAGGTCATTAATCGCAGATGAATCTTTTGATAAATAAAGATAGATTTTACTTATCTATTAGTTCATATAGAAGTTAGATATTCGCTATAGAAAATCAACTAATAGCGTTTTTTATTGGCAGGACTGGTGCGCACTCAGTGCACATTAAAAAGCTGTTGTACATTAACTTAATCTGAATGTATAAAAGTGAGATATCTCAATTATTAAAATACCCAATGTATAATATTTTATCAAATATCACAATAAAATGTATTAAGAATTTTGCTATTTAATTCGTTTCTATATTTTTATTAAACATACATCTTTACGTCGATTTGTGTACAACGGCTTTAAAGTGCACTGAATCCGCATTAGCACTGCCAGTAAAAAACGCTACAGAGTGATCCGTCAAATAATTATTTTTTTAATTTACAATTGCATTGGTTATACTTCAAATTACATTGCTTGTTCATAACACGGTAACGATTAACAATAAATACGAGTATATGCACGTCTTTAATGTGTGTAAAAAAAAAACTAATTATAAATAACTCAAGTAAAACATATATTTATATTCTTTCACTTTAAGTTTCGGAGTTTAAGTTCTAAATTTTGAAGAAGATAAAAATTCGCTAGCTAGAAAAAAGCTGATCAAATATTCTTAAGAATAACATTTTTTCATATCATGGTTTTCATATTATAGTTTTTTTCGTTTGTAAAATACAATAATGGATCTTCAATCAGATAAATCTCCATCAAATAAATTTCGGACGTAAGATGCGCGCAAGCATGGCTGAATGAAGCTCACAGTGTTGCTCCAGGAATGTAAAAATCTCCTTTTCTTCATGCGCTCCGCATCAATTCCATTCAGAGTTTGTAACACGAAATTGGTTTCGCTGACAAGCGCTCCAAACTAAAAGCGGTCGACGGTACCCGAAAATTACATTTTATCCGGTCAAAGCAAACTTCCTCAACAATTCCCGTGGCAGTGGATGAAGGAGGAGAGAAAGAGGGCGCGAAACCGCACGAACTCAAAGTGCCACCGACCGGAAGATAAAAGAACACGACACGGGATAGGATCGCGATGTCGTTTTGTACAATGCGAAAGATGAAGAGAGAGGGAAAAGGAGAACGGACACCAAGAAGAGGAAAGTATAAGAAGTCACGCGTGCATCACGCGTCAGCTCCTTCGTCGGAATTGCGAAGTTCTCTGCGGGGGAAAACTCATCCGAAACTATTTGCTCCGGGTACGCCCGCGGAAAGTATACATCTAAGAAGCTACATCTTTTTATATTGCCGAGTTCCGTGCAGGATTACCCTCCTTTTATTACTACGGATCAAAGAGAAGGTGGACGATCGTCTTACTTCCTACTTACTTACCTCCCAAGAAGGATCGCCATGAACGTAACGACCTGTAACAAAAAGAATGCGGCATCATTACAAAGCGAAATGTCAATCGTAGAATTCGCGACCTCGGAGCAAAGGGGAGGAGAGAAAGATTAATAGGACGTTCGTTCTAAAGGCGTATAATCGGTACCTGCTCGTAATTCAAATTTGCGAGTACTAACTAAGAGTAGATTTACTTTGTTATGCAATGTGAACGAATTGACCAGTTTTTATTTCCATTGAGATGAATCTAAAATTCTATTTCCTAATTTTCTATAATGAATCTCTCTTGTGTATCTTCTTGAAAGATTGAGATCTCGAAGGTTTGAATAAATTACTTTCTTTGCTAATAAGAAACAAATGCCTCATGCGACTGTCTTGAACAAAATATATTGCATAAAGAAAATCACGTGAGTTTCCTTAAATGAACTAGTTTTTTTATTATAGGAATTCTAAGACGGACAAGCCGCAAATACGCTTTTGCGCGATTCGACTACTTGATCGCCAGCAAATAAATTATGCGGCGTTTTATTTGCGTCTTCACGGAACGTACAGACAGACGTGGCTGCGAATGGCGTCGCAAAAGCCGGATGCGCCGCGAAAAGGAGTGCATCCTCTGCTCTCAGAACGCACGTATGGACGGTTTTAACTCATTTCGCTGCCGTCTGCACGGTTTGCATACGCGCGCTCATTTAAATGAGATCGCGAAAGGGAACGATTTACGTATCTGGATGCACACGCGAAAGATATGTTACTCCAAGATCGGCTCGAGATATTTCAATGTTTCACAGAGACAAGAAAGTTAGTTTTAGATCTAATTGTTAGTAAACAAGTATGCATGAAGTATCCGTTATAAATTTAATGATATATGCTTAAGTTAAGTATATTTTATACATATTTTCAAGATGATAACAAAATTATTAAAAAATTACAGATTATTCTAAATCACGTTTAAAAATAATACGACAAATTTGGTGACGGTTTATTATCTGGATCATAAGTTATTTTAACAAATAATAATATTTTTTAAATATGTGCTCTAATAAAAATATATGGAAATGTGTTATAAAATAAATGATAAAAATAAAATTTTTTTATATAAGTACATTATCAAGATTATTTAGGTAGCGTTACATTGCGATGCATGAAGTAAATGCACAAAGTTTAGAAAATAAAACAAAATAATTATTTATTCTATATCTTTGTAACTAATCAATGCATCGCAATGAAACTTTGCATAAATTATTTTGAGTATTTAAAGTATTTATAAAAATGAAAAATGTAAATTTTTGTATCCCTTAAGGCACTTCTCTCTTGGAGTAAATAGTCATATTCATCTCTAAGTTGTTTAAAATTGCAAAATTATACTATTTAACTATACAAAATATATTTTTAATTTATGCTTTACCATTTCCAAGCAATTTCGATTTATCGAAAGATATATTTATAAATATATTTTAAATATATCATAAATCGAAGATATATTTTGTGTAGTTAAATAGCGTATACTTTTGCAATGCTAAACGATTTAGGGATGAATATGACTGTATGCTCCAAAAGGGAAGTACCTTAAGAGATGCAGCGCAAAAATTAAAACTATGTGAATATGAAAGCGCATAAATAGCGCATAAATCCTGTGTATTTAATTTTCCAAATCGGTTGTTATTAACAGAAGGAACAGGGGCTGACTGAGAGCCTACTCAGCCTCCACACAAAAAAATTTTTTTTAGCTTAAACGAAGTAAGCGCAAAAATTTTTTTTGCAGATTTTGAGAGCGCATAAATAGCGCATTATTATATAATTGATTCATTAAGATTTGGTTAAGTGGGGGGAGCCAGCTAGGCAGACGTGTGTTGCCTGCGCCTATCTGATTTCGATGTATCTACATTCCGCATCCATTTATACGCAGCAATTTCACGATGATATGGTCAAGGCATTTATAAGCAAACTCGTTACGACTGCAATGTGCATGTGTTAGAAAGTGCGATTATGTTAAATTCCGCGGCAATCACCTTCTTATACTCGATTCTATTATACCAATGTATATTAACTTTAATCTCGGTTCAATTTACTCTTCATCTTTTCCTAATATTTAGAAGTGAAAAAAGATGAGGAGTTAGTTGAACCGAGATTAAAGTTAATCCACATTGCTGGAAACAGGCATTAATCTGTGAATTGAAAGCGATGTAAACTGGAAAAGGATAACTCTCTGCGCAATGAATACGCCAAACTTGTATTTTTTTTATCGAATAGATATTTATAATAAAGTGTTCTCTCTATAATAAGAGATAGCTCGTAATGAATCGAAAACAATTCAAGCTGTTGAGAAATAGAATATGTATAGAATGCAATTCTGGACTTTTAGCTTATAACACACAAAATTATATAACTCAATAGCTTATAATATTAGTTGTGTAACAACGTTTTATGTAACAACAAAATACTAAGTCCATTACATTATTAATGTAAAATCTTTAATAAAATAGAATGAATTTGTAAATTATATTTGCTCTTAATATTGATAATAATATTAAAATAATTCTGCTTTCTCTATAAATTCTTTGGGGAGAGAAACTCATTCATCAAAGAATGACATTTCAGTCTTTTGGAATAAAATTTACTTCAAAGAATTTGAAGAATTTTATGTATATTGTTTTTATATATCATTCTGAATCCAATAATAAACTCAAAATAAAAACGTAAGTATTGAATAATATAATATAGTCCAATATTTCGAGTATAACAAGAAGTATATCGAGACGTGTCTATTATAGTTAGTGATAATCAATACACCTGGAAACAACTATTGTCAATTATAGGATATAACTTTACCAATAAATGAATTTAATTCATCAAACATAATGGTATTACTGATATAGTTCTCGATTTTCTCGACTAAATATTAATTGATAATATTCATTTGCCTTCAATGGTATTAATGTTAAAAACAGCACTTACAATTAGACTAACACGATCTGTGGATTATGTATTATCAATTTCTCATATTGATACAATTATTTAATACTAACAATAAAATCCAATAAGATGTAGCTTTTTTTAAGTAATTATTTTCAAAGCGTCAAAATGTATTCAAAGTAGTTACATCTCAAAGTAGTTGAGGTAGTTAAATCTTGTACGTGATACGGAAAAGCTGTCTAAATATACTGCAGACACTCCAATTTCAGAAGCGACGCAAATGCACTGTCGCTCTTAACATGAGTGCCGTATCTGCTCGACTAATTGCGTCAAAAGGAACGAAAGTGCACGACATTAAGCACACAGCCGCCGTTCTCGCTTCTCAATGAACGCGACTATCTTCTCCTCGCCTTTACGGCCCCATGTTTCTCTTCTTCGAGGAAGTTGGGTCGGAGGAAGCGGACAGCTCTCGAAGACATGTACCACGCGACAACTGGATTTCCACTGAACTCCTATATTTAGTCGAAACGAGCTGCGGTACTTTTTACGTGTCAAGCAACCTCGACATCGTGCGGTATTCGACGCTCCAAAGCGAAGACACTAATTTAGAGGCGTGTCGACATTTAGAATGCATCGAACGGGTCCAGCAATGTCATCATTAGAGCGAAGAGAATAGGCAGCATCTTTCAATCTTCATTAAGCTGCTTTCACATCAGCTTTTGTCTGCACAAAAAACCTTTCCAGCTATATATAAGATTATACGTTTCCCCGAAAAAATTTTCAGTGATAAGAATAGCAAACTTGAATTAATGTAATATAAAAAGTATTAATTATAGCATAAGAAGTATTAATAAAGAACAATTTTTCAACTGTATTCTTTGTTAACATATTATTTATGCCATAAAATGTTACAAACTTTCTTTTTGTTCTTTTTTCTAAGGAGTATTTTTAGTTGAAATTATTTTTTCTCTAATGATATAATTATAGAAAATACTAAGATCAATACTCTTCTCTCACAAAAAAATTTTATATATTTATTAAAAAACCAATCCACTTCATGTCCTTGTTAAAATTTTGTATTGAATTTTTAACATCAGAATGTTGATTTAACATAATGTAATTATATATGTTAATAGAATATTTTTCAATTGTTAAATTGATATTTAATATTTCTTAGTGTAAAAATAATAAAATAGTTTATAAGTAAATAAACAAATGGCATAAAAATAATGAATTAAAAAATGTAAATTTAGATAAACGAGTAAAATACATTATATTTTTTCAGTAAAATTAACATTTATGATATGTTAAATTAACATATCACAAATGTTAATTTCACTGAAAAAACATGCTTCCACAATTTGCTTGCAAATTATGTCAGTGTTACATTTTTGTCTAAATTTTTTTACACAATGTTTGTGTCACTCTCTAACATATATATTTATCTTGTATAAAATAAATACAAAAATTTGAGTAGACACGTAAAACGTATTAACAATTTTCAACAACTAAATTCTTTGTTAACATATAATTTATGCCATAAAATGTTCCAAACTGACAGTTCTGCTTTCTAAATAATTTATATTTTTAGTTAAAAATATTTTTTCTCTAATGGTATAATTATAGAAAATACCAACTATATTTTTTTATTATTTATTCATTTAAATTATTTGTAAAACAAATTAGACGATCAAGGTGACTATTATTCTAAGAAAAAAATTAATTTTTCGTCAAAATTTTCGGAAAATCACACATTAATGGAAAGGCTCACGAGAACTCTGATGTGAAGGTAGCTTTATGGGTTCAGTATATTGGAAAGACGAGTGCGACAGGAGTCGCTGTGGTGTCTCTTGTTGTGTCTCCGCCTGACACCATGCGAGATACGGTGCTTATGTTAATGCGAGGGACACATCGTGTACGACGAGAAGGACTGACACACAATGCCGGCGATAGCACCGCGAATCCGCCGGCCATTAATAACGAGCGGTACGAACTGAATGAATCACAGTTACGTTCTAATGTAAATATTCAACACAACTTAGCCTTCGCGTTTTGTTGCGTGTCAATTGTTTGCGCGAATAAATATCTGTTAGCGCGGAAAAGGAGAAAT